ACACACACACACACACACACACACACACACACACACACACACGCCACGCCAGCCAAACCTCCACACCCATGGTTTCCACAGCCTCAGTACCTACCTGTCCAAATGAATTTCTCATCCCAGACTGACCACATCTGGACGATGAAGAAAGGCGCCCAGCAGAGGATGTAGGCCGTCACGATCACAAAAGTCATCTTCACCGTGCGGATCTTGGCGCGGGAAATGGTCTTCACGCTGCTGACACAAGGCGTGACCAGGAACCCCTTGTGGAAGGCGCTGGCAGCTTCCCCAGAGGAGCCTTTCCTCTGGCGCGACGCGGTCTTTCCCCGGACGTTGCGCCAGATGTGGTAGCAGATGAAGCCGTAGCAGGTACCCAAGATGACCACGGGTACCACGAAGATGCCGCTCGTCATCCAGGTCACATAGGCGCGGGTACCCCAGGGCTGGATGAAAGTGGCCCAGCAGTCTTGAGCCTTGGTGCCGTTGTTCACCTCGATTTCGATCATGGAGAAGATGAAGTATTGCGGTGTGCTCAGCACGAAACTCAGCACCCAAGAGGCGGCGATCATGAGCCGCGAGCGGCGCGCCGGCTGCTGCAGAGTCTTGAGCGGGTGGCACACGGCGATGTAGCGGTCTGCGGTCATGACCACCAACATGTAGGCGGACGCGAACATGGCGAACACCTGCAGGTGCTTTACCACGCGGCACAGCCAGTCGGGCCCGCGGAAGCGGTAGGTGATGTCCCAGCACAGCTGTGGTAACACTTGGAAGAAGGCGACCGCCAGGTCGGCCAGGCTGAGGTGCCGGATGAAGAGGTGCATCCGGGATGTCTTGCGAGGTGTGCGGTGGAGCGCCAGCAGCACGCAGCTGTTGCCGAGCACCGCCACCACGAAAATCACCGCCAAGACGGCGATCTCCAGCTTGGCCAACTCCTCGTTGCGCACGTCCCCCTGCGGCTCACCACCTTCCCGCAGCCCATCGCCCTCTCGGCTCACGTTGGCACCGTCCGCAGCCAGAGGCCACCAGGAGCTGGAGTTGCTCCCCTGCCTGTCGTCGGAGCTCCGGGAGAAACGCATGCTGTGTAGCTCGGCGTCTCCGAAGCCCCTTTCCCGCGTGGGCTACTTCCTTCCCGCCTCCAAGGACCTGAGGACCTGGGTCCTTAGCCCACTGGGTCTCCTGGCTCCGCAATCCCACCTGCGCATAGAGCAGCTTTCAGTAGGATGCTTGCGCGGGTCTCCTCCCTCCGCCTAGTTCCCAGTCCAGAGTTTCTAAACACACTGGCTCCCTAAGCAATTATTTATAAGAGGCCGGCTTCCTCCAGACGGGCTCTCTCACACCCTAGTGGCTGGAGACTGCTCCCCTCCCTCAGACCCCCACTCTGCTGCTGCTGGTGATTTGTCCTTTTCAGCATCATCCGCTGCAGGGGTGGAGCTGCGAGTCCTGGTTCCTCTGCACCGCAGGCGGGATCCTGGTGTTTTCCCACTCTTCCAAAAACTTTTCTGGGTTCCTCGCCGCTTCCTCAAGTCTCCAGTAGTCAACTTAAACCCATCTAGGATTTCAACAGGTGCGGTCAACGCCGCACTGAGACACCTCGGTCGGTGTACCCCAGGGAGCTCATGCACCTGAACTTGGCTCCTTACCTGGAGTCCTTCCCCTCCTGTTTCCTTGCTCCGCGAGCTAATCCCTGGAGGTCACTCTGGCAGACTGGCAAAATTGCCCCGGGAATAACATCTATCCCCGCCCCGCCCCTATCTATCCTTTCTTTCCAGGGTAAAATCAGCTAGGCTTAAATGGAGCTCTAATCCTGATGACGTCTTGATGCTTACTGCTTGTTACCCTGCCTTCTGTAAGGACAGGGAAAGACCCACTCACGTGCCTCTTGCTCTTGACATGCGTATGTCCACCGCTGGGTAAGGAACGTCTCCTTGCGTTCAGTAAGTTTTCTCTAAACTAGGTTCCTGAGATATCCGCTGGAAAGCTGGGCTCCCACAGCAGCGGAGGTGGCGGAATTGGGCAGCGTTAGTCAGTGGAGACATACCGTCTGGTTGCTGCTGAATCCCCAGGACGTTTCTTTGGGTGGACCAAGAAGTGCTGGGGATCAGCGTCCAGCCCGCCAGGCACTGTGCAGTGTAGGGGAGCTCCAGGTTCCTGAGCTAGAGGGTGAGAAAGGAGAGCTTGGAAGAAAAGAAGTAAAACACCCCTGAATCCCATCCCACCCCACCCCCACTTAGCAATTAATTATTTAGTTTGGACAAGTGGAGCCCCGCGGTGAAGCCCCAGGGAGACAAAGAAACCTATGAGACTTCAATCAGCCGCCTTATCTTTGGTGAAAGCTTGCTTCTAAAAGCAGCGGAGGGAGCTGTTTCCAGGGTGTTTTCCCTAGGAAGGGGGCGGGGGCGCGGGGTACCGGGGCAGGGCTGGGGGAGAAACCCTTGTTCATAGATGCAGGACCATGAAGACAGATTTCTTGGGCAGAACGTTTGTGTATTGTGGCAACAGTATAAATTTGATTGCTTCAGAAAAATATATGCCTCTGTGAAGTGCAGTCAGAAAAAAAAATCGATTTTCTTAGGTGCAATTAATCATAATTCCTTTATGCCACATAATTCCACTCATGCATTCAGAGCCTCAAAGTCGTTACATTAAGAGTGCTGGGCTTGAACTATACAGTCCTGTTTGACAATGGTTAGATAAGCCTCTGTCTATGCATCTTAAAATTGGGAATAAAGGTATTTGCTGATCAGGTAGGGTGATGTCCTGATGGGGAAATGCTCTGAAAATGGAAATTGATGTTGCATGGAGCTTATTTTTTACAAGATGCCCAGGAGGCAAAAGATTAAAGTGGTTCAGGGATGATGATATCTAACAGGTTTCCAGACCACTTGCTTGGAAAAATCTTTTTCAGTTTTTTTGACAGCACAAATTACATTGTTAGTGCTTCTTATGAGAAATAATGTTGTCTGACCCTAGTGTCCCTTGGTGTTGAAAAATGGCACACTGGTCAGTTTTATAACTCTTAAGTACATATATTTGAACTTTAGGATTCCTCAGGAGAGGCACTCAGCAGTGAGAATCCCTAAGCTTCCTTGGGTGTTCTTAGTTTAAAAAGATGTTGTGTGGGCTCTCAGGAAATCACTGATATCAGTCAGTCTGATCCAGCAATTAAATTGTGCCCAAATTTCCAACTTATAAAAGTAACCTATTAGGTTAAATCAGAGGATACAATCGGAAGATATTTTACTATTTAGTGATACCAGTACCAACTACCCAATAAAGGACATGTGTAGATGTATGCATCTGTGTGTATGCAGTGTATGTACACAAATAGCTATGTATCTATCTGTCACTCCTCTGGGTGGCATGGAGCCTAGAAATCAGAAAAAAGTGTTGCAAATTCCAACTTTTTAACCCATGCTGTTAAAAAAAAAAACAGTGCCCTTTTTTTTTCTGGTTCCATATTCAAAAGAAAACAAGACAATTAAATACATGTATTTCACTGCACCCCATTAAAGTTCCCCAAGAAGAGTAAAGGAAGAGGAAAAGAACAGCCCATGTGCTTTTTCTTCGAACACTCTTGTATTAAGACTTGCATTCAGATTTCTCCCTCTTACTCTCTGAGGGTTTCAGTTAGCATGTTTTGAGGGATGAGCTGATGAAAAGAAAAACATAGAAATTGTGCATAGTACCCCAGAATCATTATTACCTTTCACTTGCTAATGTTCCTCTCCCCCTTCAGCAATTACAGATGTTTAAGAAATATTTTCACTAATGGAAGCACCAGTCTCCTCCCCTTACTAGTTGTGTGACTTTGTTTCCATCTTTGAACTACAAATGCTTCATCTGTAAAGTATTGGTGAGAAAGCTTGATGTATTTGTTTCAAGGATTAGCTACACAGTTGCTTAATTTTGGGGCATTTCATGGGTGTTCAAAATATGAATTCCCTTTTAAAATATATGTGATCCTCCATCTTACCTGTTACCTTGCTATTGAAGTTCTTCCTTTCCAAGTAAAGCAGTACACCGCCAAGTCTCTTTCATGCAGTAGAAGATTTTGACAGGTTTTCAAGGAGAGGAGTCCAGGGTCAAGGAAAACAAAAACTGTTTAACTTCATCAATTTCCTAAGGTTATACCATGTAGATCCCCTCTCCCAAGCCTGCTCACCATGGAATACTTTCTCCATGGAATAGGACAAGGGACACAGTAGCACTGAGTAAAGGGACTTAGTGTCTGGAATGCCTGAAGATCGCCGCTGGATTTAGTCAAATCAGGAAGCTGGAAGTTTGGGTCAGTTTTAACCTTCTCTTCTAGGGCAGGAAAATCTTATGCAAATAGGTTCCATCATCTTTATCATAGTGCATTATGGGCATTTCATAGATGTTCACTAGACCCCACTCCCTTTCCTTGACTTTCCAATCTTCTGCTCCCTCATTACTGAGAAAATGAAAGGAATTAGTTGTTCTGCACTGTCTGAATATCCATTTCACCTTGACAGTGCACAATGACTTTTTGCCCCTTTAATCAATGGCACTGTTGTTACAAGCTATCAATCTGGTATTCATATCATTACCTAAAGCAAATCAAGAAATATTTATTGCAGGTTCTCATGTTTATACTTAGTAACAGTTCTTTAGCAATACTTATCACTAGGCCTTGAGCAGCCTGTAAAGAAAGTTATAAAAATAGCTAATATTTTAAGCACTGTGTCGCATCTGGCCCTGTGAAGGATATACCATTACTACTTCATCTTATGTTTGAGGAAGATGAAGTACAAAGACTGTCAATAACCAGTCTTAGGTGACACAGTTGGTCAGCAGTAGAACCAGAACTTGACCAGAAGCAACTGACTCCAGCAGAATTTCCAGTCTTAACCATTGCACTATGTTGCCATCTACAAGTTTCATGTTCCTGGAATTTTACAAACACATCAGGATTATCTAATTGTTTATTTTATAGTCCATCTACATACAGTATTCTCTCCTTTAAGACTAAGAGGGCCTGGGGGATTTTCACTGGTTCTTACACATCTTTGGTTTCTTCTTTGGCAAGTCAATTACAGGGCAATAATAGGGGCAGTAATAACAATAATGATGATAATAATAGGTATTATGAACATTTACTGCATTGATTAATCTTTTAAACATGAGCTAAGACTGTTAAATTCATTGTGTTTGATTTTTCAAATAATACGATAAACTGTATAGGGACAACCATTATTGCCCCACTTTAAAGATGAAAAAACTAAGGATTAGAGAATGAGAGCAATTTAACCAAAATCACAATGGTCCAAGTAACTGAGCAGGAGGAGGCACATATAGGCCCATTTGAAGATAAGGTTTCCAAGCTCTGTTCCTTACATGCTCCCCATGAACATCAGCACATAACAAACACATCTTTGCTAAATTAATTTTAAAAATGCTGGTTGTAGCAAAGAAAATGGTGTTTGACTGCTGCATGAATATTAAATTCACAAAGCATGCGATGATTGAATAAATTAGGGAAGGGGTCTTGAGGATCTGCCCTTGAGTACCTAAATTCCATAGTGTGTCTCTGAAGAAAGGATCAGCATTTATATTTGGAACTTTGATTTTAAAAGTTATCCATGATATCCATGAATGAACTTTTAACACACACACACACACACACACACACACACACACACACACACATACACACACACACTAAATTCTAAAAACATGCTACAAATCAAGCATGGAAAAAACACTAAGTCTTAATTATAGTACTCTGGAGTAAAATTAAAAATGAGAATACTGTTTGGTCTTACTTATGAAGACTTATTTTTTGTGATAAAATGAGCTTGTGTGGGCAAATGGAGAAACATAACATTTTAAAAAAGTATTTTAATCATGCTAATATTTGTTGACGGAAGATTGAAATCACTTCACTCACTTCTATATCGTCCCCATTCATTGCTAATCCAGCCTTTACAGCATGGCTGGAAAATTCACTCTAAAGGAAAATAGTTCCAAAATCAGCATTTTTATCATATGATTTTTATCATATGTTCAGACAATCAATTGGATTTAGAAATTAGTTGATGATTTAAAGTTTTTTAAAATACAAAATTACTGAAATGGGTGAGCTTTGGCTTCAAATAGACTGATAGTCACTTAAAATTTTTCCACATTTATAGGGTTTTTGCTATTCTCCTTAGAATCTAGTAATCAGAAAGACTTTCTGTCTTGGGGCTGGAGAAATGACTGAGTAGTTAAGA